CTTTTCTTTGGAAGCTCCTTTGACTACGATGACCTGGATGACTGAGAACCTTCACAGACATCTATAACATCTATAGCCATAGCTCATTTATAGCAGCAGAAGACACAATTTCTTGAAAGAGACCAAGTTATATCAAGGACATGCTTGGGTATTTTAGGTGCAACCAAATCACGGGTGCTCCACTTCAACTGTGCTGGAACAAGATATAAATAGTGAGACAGCAGGAATAACAAACAGGAGAAATGTATTGGATTTGTAGGATTTTATGTTTAAATTGTAAATACATGATTTATGGGTGTGTTTGGGTCATATTTTTAATTATATAAAGTATAATATAAGAATGTTTACATGTTTTAATTGTTTTGTTTGGGAAAATGTGGAAACACCCCTGGCAGGTTATGAGCAAGGTGTGGCTCAATAGCAACAGGATATGAAGGACTGCCAATTACCTGATTAGTGTGTGCTCTGTTTGCATGCTGAACAAATAAATACTGTTGGGAGTCATCATAAAGTTAAATTTAAGTTTAAATCTGGTCCCTTTTTTCATTAATCATCCCAAAGTCATTTAAAGTTGGGGTACACAACAGTACCGTAACTTGATTAAAAAAATATAACTGGTGCAAAAGGGAACTACACTCCTGCACTGCCTCTGGGCCCTGAGTCTATCCTGCAACAGTCGATGTGCCTTTTCAGACCAGATCAGATGAGGCAAAGAGTATAAACAAAGATGTCCAGGAAGAAAACAAACCAGCATTACCCTGGTGGGATCTTCACAAAATATGTGCATTATTGACTGTAAGCAATTCTAAAAAATGCACAATTTTCTGTTTTCTGTCTATGTAGCATTACTTTAAAAAAAACATAAGCAAAACAATATCTAGGAAACTGGGGAGAGTTAGTACAGTTTTGGCCGCTATAAGAAGACTTGATGAAGATTGCACCAGTCTGGGTGAGCAGACTTCACACAGCTTCCATGCAGAGGACAAAGATCTTTGAAACAAGTGGATCATTAACAGGAAATAATTTGTTCCCAGCAAAAACAGCATGAAAGGTTTTGGTTAAGGGTACTTCACTTACCCAGTAGAATTATTCAGCTGTCTAGCTAAGCATGATGCAATGCTTAGCTGGTTAATGTTAGATGCTCACTGTGTAACCTGACTTAGATTAGATGGATTTGATGGATTTTTACCAAACTGCAGCTAAACTTAACTAATATGATGTACAGAATATTGTATTTCATTTCTTGTTTTTCACAGAATTTTTACCCAAGCTTCTAACTTACTGAGCAGAATTATTATTGCTGAATTATTTTGTGTGTATTGTGTCACATTTTGGTTTTGATTTGCATTGGCCTGTTTTTGCATTTGCTTATGTGTATAATTTGCCTTCTGTGATGTGGTTCATGATTTTTTTTGGCTGCCTAATTTGTCCAGACCGCTGCTGTCATTCCTCATTGTCTTTTATGGCATCTCTTTCAAACGCCCTCCAATCTAACCTATTTTTTTTTCTCACACACGGGCACACTATCTCATCCACTCACTCTTCCTTTCTGTCAAATGCTACACCTACACACTGGCACTGAATGCTCAACAAGAACACAGATATGCTGGGTTATTCTTAAACTTAAGCCTCCTTTGGTTATCTTCAACATTAACCACGCTGCCACATGTACTGTACACCTCATAATGTCACCATTAGCACAGATTAGTACTGGTAATTAGGTATGATAATACTAAAATTGGCAGCAAATAAGGCATTAACTCCTCTTGCTTAGGGTGTTAGAAAAAGAGAGAGATAGGTGCAAGAGAGGAAAAGCAGCATAAAAAATAAAAGCTTTATTTTTATTTGATTTATTTACAGGTTTTCTCTTGGTTTTGCGTTGCGCTCTGTATCCAAAAAAGGAAATACTGTCATTACCATCTTCATATCTTTCTTTAGTTTACATCATTGCAGAGACTGCTTGTAGAATTTCCTTTGTCTTAATCATTCAATTGTTGTTTGTTTGCCTGTTTACTCATTTCCTGTTTTAGTTTGTAGTCATTTGTCGCCTATGTTTTGCATGTAGCTTTATTTCCCTTGTGTCGTTATCCTCATTAGTTTCACTTGGGCCTTGTTCCACAGCTGTGTCTAATTCCCTGATTAGCCCTCAGTGCATCTGTGTATGTATATATAGCCCCATTTTCCTTTTGTTTGAGTCTGTGTTAATCTACAGTTTTGCTTTCCTGTCAGTGAGTGTGAAGTGTGGCTATTTTGAAGTTTTTTTTCTTTGTTTATGGACTTTGGTGTTCCACCAAATAAAAGGTTGTTTTTTTTAGTTTATTTTTGTGTCCGTGAGTCCTTTGTTTGCATCATTCTTGCCAAACCTCTTGACAAACCAAGTGCTGTGCTTGTTATAAAGAATCACACAACATGTTTGACAAGACAAGATGAGGCAAGAAATCCAGCCATAAACATCTTGTAGCTGATGACTTTCAGCTTAGAGACTACAATGACTGATTTCCAATAACAGACAGGTCTGCAACACTGTTGACTGGCTACTACTAAGATGAACATATATTTTAAACACTTAGAGTGTTGAAGGGTAATTTTCAGATAATTTTCATCACTTTTTCTTGAGTATTAACTTTACAGTTACTTG